CTTAATGCGCGCTGGTAGTGAACAAGCTGAACTGAACGTATTTGAAAGTTAAGGTCCAATACGAGAATTTACCAAATGGAAAGTTGTATTCTTGCTCAGGTTTATGCAGCTTAAAGCCAACCGCCAACTTGCTGACCTGCGTAAGTTGTTTTATAATTTGGTAAGCGTGGTCATACTGTTCATAGACGGCAAACAATACCTTCTGATGGACAATGCATAAACATCTAAAAATACTGAAACGCCGAGCATCGTAAAAATCAAAATAGCAGACTGTTCGATTGTGGCGGCAGTAATCAACGGGCGCACGCGTGTTAAACACCAGTTTTACCGTATGGAGTAAATATGCAGCAAGTCTGTTTGTCGGGAACAAAATTGGGGTAGGCTGTAACATTTTGAGGATAGTCTAGGTGTTCGACCCTCAACGGATGTCATCCAGTACGCACGGCTCTCTCTTCGCCAACAGAACTTAGCGCCAACTGCTGAAAATAAAACGATTCATTAACTTCGAATGTCAAATCGCCAAGGTATCACAATGACTAGTGCAACAGGGTGCTGGCGACCAAAAACTTTATCTGATGGAGATTGGCATTTTCACGTTTTCTTCTAAGCAATTTTAACCTAACATTCACATGCTTATTTAACAAAGTGTTGGTGTTATAATTGTATGAATAAACCCCGATCAGCTGTTCCGATAAGCGACTCCAGTAGCATCTACGTTTCGGTTCGCCGTTTCATGTTCTATTGGTCTATTGAATTTTGTGTTTCACAGTGTGATTGGGAGCACACAAGTAGACCTTATTTTTGTCAGATCCAATCCAATCCTCCAATATCATTTGATGTATTTCAGCCTACAGTTCTTTAAATTTTTGGGATATGAACTAAAATTAACCCCTCAATGAACAACTTCAGACCGGGATAATTGTAGGTTTCTGATAAGGTGATTCACAAAACAAAATGGAACTCTGCATCTCTGGTTCCAAATAAAATGGCGTCTTCACCGCAATAAAAATAGCACTTCATAAATACCACACTGTGGTAGGATTGATATTTATCTAACTGACCATCCATTAGACTTCCCATCCTATAAGAATCTTCAGTTTAGCCAGCCAACTATACATCTTGAAAGCATTGGACTCATGTTAAAGGTCTGTAGTGATGCATATTCACCAGTTCTTTCGAGATTCGAACATAGTAGCTCTCACATGGAATGTGTGTGTGGTACCATTAAAGAGATTTCCTCTCTAAAATGTGTTCGGATAAGATGTTCCCTGACAATCATTCAGTTTAGTTAAATCGACAGCAAAGAAGAAAGACACTGTGTCGTTTCGGTTAGATCCAATCGAAAACCTTCCATCAAAGCAGGTTTTTCACGTAGGTTTAGACAAGCTTGGACAATTGAACCTGTTGCACCATATAGATCTTAGTTCGCACCTGCCACAATGAATCTCGATACCATGTAACAAACTATGCGGTTTTTTTCAATCGTTTTATATTTGCCGTTCAGTTGATGAAATGAAACTTGGTTTAGTATTTACTCACCGCGAATGCAACTATCGTTCTTCCAAATACATTGCATGATATTCACTTTTTTTCTGAAAGAAAAATCAACAACTTCTACTGATTTTTCTCCGTGTGATTTATTGCCAATCTGCGCGGAACAACAATCTGACCATTTGCCAAAGTAAAACCTCTCGATAGTTTTCTTTATGACGATGACGTCCTTCGCCTGTGGTTGGTTTGAACAAACCTGGTGTTAATATCTCTCTCCCGTTTTGTCTCGAATTCAACCACCCCAAACCAGTAAGCTACCAAAGCACTCTACTACACTTAAGCTCAACCTCATCCTGCCTGGTTAAACTATCCCAAGGGTTACGTAATGCAAGATGTCTGTCACTTGTTTGCTTCTGTAGCACGGATTGAGAGCGATTAGCATTCGATTTGTATGCAAATTTTTCCTTCTGACATTTGGCTAGTGTAACCTTCGCTTGCATGTGCATTCGTTCGGTTTGTCAATGTATGTGTGCGTGTGTGTGTGTGTGCGCGCCCTAAGATGAGGAACCGTCACCAAATTTTCAGCGTCAAACATGCACGTATTTTCCGGCGCACATGCGTTGATCAAGGAGGGCGGGCGTTAGGCCAGTACACATCTCTAAGTTGGCTAAAGGGGATTTTCTTCGATCCTCTAAATTGGGTTGGGCTCCCAATGGTGTTGGGCGATTTACCAAAACGATTACATATTTTTTCATTTCATTTCATCTTGTTCGCCTTCGGTCAGATTGCACAAGCGGAGACTGGCTGCACCAATATAATGGTGAGCGCATGCGCATGTGGGGTTGGGCATTATGATGATCCCGTACCGTATTCATGACCCATCTCCAGGGAGCGGGGTGGTCAAGTAGGAGGCTAGCTTGATTTGCTTGATCGGATTCAGTCACGAGATAAACGCGCATTTTCTCTTGGCACAGAATGCAATTGATTGAAGCTAGTATGTATCTAAAATGTCTGAGAATTATTGATTTGATAAACAGCTTTTACCAAAAACAGATCGATTGAAAGAGCTGTACGCGTAAATTCAGCACACCTACAGTACTCCTTGGATCACAATAACCACACAGTGTTTTTGACCTCAAAAAGGAAACATCTCGTGCCGGAGTGAGCATTGCTATTCATCAATAATTTCGTGATGGACAAAAACAGCGCGTTGTTTAATATAACTAACTCTGCGTGAACTTTATTCAAAGATTATGAAACAAATGTAACAACTGATAGCTGCTATTTGTCGTGATATGCTTTGGACCCTTCCGCTCCGAGGTTCGAGCCCCACCACGGTCACCCACTTTTGGTGATAGACAGCTTTGCTGTACTCCGGTCCAATACCGCACCTAACCTGTTGGGGCCTTATGTGATTCGCCACTCTGAGTCCCGTGGCTTAAAGTACTGGTTTCCATCACTGAACAGCAGGTCCTTGTGGCTATCGGGTTCGCCCCGTCTGTTGTTGTGTGTAGTAAGAAAAGATTGTGACATTATTCTTATTTGTATATCCATTAAGGACGAAATAAGATAAACCCGTTATTTTTTCAAAGAAAAATTGAATTTCATAGATTTAATGGTCTAACAATGAGACCACACAGAACGTCTTTCATGAGCAAGTTCCGTTGAAAAGAGAAGTGAACAGATCCATCTTCACTAAATTTTAATTATTGGGCAGTTAAATTGATAGTGCTGCAGTCCCCTCAATTTAATTGCTTGTCTTGTGCTAAATGACGGAGATTTTATAAGAAAAGCATCAGTTATAGGCTCAGAACCGGTTACTTCTATCATAGACTTCCTGTGACTGTCTGTCTGTGAAGCATGACACTGCACAGTCCACCAGAAAAAAACTAAACAAATCGAATGACCTCTATTGTCTCAGTAGTTGCAGTACCGACAGTACCAGCGTCCGTTCGATCAGCGCACATCATAGTGCAGCAATGCATCCCATAAAATCGATGGAATTTATAGCCCGAAGTACGAATTTGGAAATACTGATCAGCTATGTTCTGACGCATTGAAATGCAGTTCAGAACACAGATAGTTTGTGAAGATATGTTTTCGAAGAGTTTATTCTCAAGCCGCTACAATCACCTTTATATAAGTAAATAACGAGAGGGTGGTGTTGGTGTCAAACAGTCAAGGTCAAATAGGGGATGTGGTGGGAACAATTTTGTCCCTAGTTTTTTTGTTTGGATATGAACGGGTTAAGTATCAGCTCACATTGTTTGTACGCTTACAAGCGATTCTTTCAAACAGAGACTAAATGAAACATTGAAGTGTCTTAAATTTCAACATTGATGATATTATGTAAAATAGTGTAACTACATAAAATTCGTCATTCCTCTTTGCTCGGTCAATCTATTCTGCCGCTCTAAAAGTTATATGGGACAGCTAACGCAGCCACGTGTAGGCATTTCGCATGGTAAAACTAGTGAACATCGAAGTGATCTGAATTCCTCTTTTGAAACCCGATCTCCGTTGGCAATACTGTCTTATTTACTCCTCAATGATCAGCGGTTTATTGAGTGGTTCGTGGATAGGTTAAGGATTTCCGCCAACACCATGTGTAACACATATCTCCTTTCAGCACAACACCTCATCCTCAATGGATTCATTAGCTAGCTGTCAGACCAGCGAATAACCTGTGTTCACCCCTACCCGTTGGACGTGTGCACATATGGTTTTCACAGTCTCAGAATAGTATCATCGTGAACGTACGCTCACCTTTACAACACGTTATGAAATTCACATCCGGATCGTAAAAATATGGTTGAACAATAGACTGAAACATATCAAGACTTATTCGTTTATTTTAAGATGCCGTATGCTGATTGAAACTTGTATACGAAATCCCAAAATCATATACTTGTGACACGTATATAGTATAGTATAGTATGCATATATGTAGTGTGATTCACATCGACTGAATTCTTTTCTCTGGTGAATAAGTGGGAAAGCTGTGCATTTTCTTCTAATAAAATATCGGTTCATTTTGCCTTGCAATTTGAAAGTTATATGAAAATTATGACCTCACACACAAGAGAGAGCATTCGGGAATCAGTTATACAAAACTACTTTGGTTGAAGAAAGGAAGCTTGGGTAAGTTACGAAGAGCAACGCCCTAGAATCTACTCAACCGATTGGTCTCAATCGTCACAACGTTTTGTCTGTCATTGTCAACACAAAGAGATCAACTCGATTAATTTTGTTCAGCATTGATGTATTCTGCAAAATTGTCTCCCATATCAGACGAACGATTCTTTACTGTTTCGGCTCATTGTTTCAATTTGTATTACAAAACGAGTCTAGATTTGCTTGAAACAAATAAAATCGATGTTTTTTTTCTAGTAACTAAAAACAAATAGAACGAGTCTGCGAAAAATTGGTGAATATGGCATAATACCTCGGTTTGTTGACTGTAGAATCAGACAGTGCTAGGATAATTTTTTCTTGTCATTCTATTCCAGGGTATATTCATCGCTAATCTGGTCTCGTACGAATTTCAACCGCTCGAAGTGCTCGGAGTCAGTTACGAACCACCCACATGGACCATCATTACCGCGTGGCTGGTCGTGTTCTCGTCTGTCGTATTCATCCCCATCATGATGGTCGTACAATTTTTAACCGCAAAAGGCAGTTGCAAAGACGTGAGTGAATTTTCCGTTTAGTTTTCAAAAACCATATGCTCTGTTCCTTGAAATCACTTATGTAAAGTTTTATTTTCAGACACAAGTTTGATATTAACTCTGTCAAACCCCTACCCGGTTATTGGCACATCCCTAGCTGATTTAGCCCAGTTCAGTGATTTTTTNTTTGTCTAAAGCCCTTTTATCGATTCCGATCATTGTGTTGAGGCACCAGGAACTGATAATGATTTTGGAGGTGGGTTGCACCCCTTTGGAGATTGTTAACCACACCTGTTAACTGATTTTCAAATGCAGTGATAATCCTTTTGATGGTTGACGAATAGCATTGGACAGCTAGTTTGTCCTCGTAGTTAATCGTTAACGTTTCTTCCTGGGTTTCAGTGGGCAACCTTTCGGGTTGGAAAATCGTATTGTTAGTTATAGCATTATTATTAAAAATAATAATAATATTCCTATTGGTAGTATTTATAAAAATCGCAACAACTTAGTGAAGAAGTGTGACAATTGGCTATCCGACACCCAAAGGTGAATATAATTATTAACTATTTCCATTCTACACCTCTTCAAATCCGGGGTGAAGAAACAGTGGGATTTAGTTGGCTTCAGTTTTGAAATTTATTACTGAAAACCGGTTAGGAATTATTAGGATGTGAGAAGCCCTCAAATAAATTAGATTACAGAATATTATTTGAAGTGGTTTTGATTTCCCAGAAATGTTCATTCGGTTCGTAATTGAAATATGATACCATTTTTGATATGCGAAACAAAATGCGTAAACCTTAGGTTCTGTAGAAACTCGAGCACCAAAACTCAGTCGAAAAGATTCAATATTTCAGTATAGAATAACTCCTGTGATCATTTTTTCTCCCAGTTGCCTGAAATGGTTCCCATTCACATTAAAATGCGATGTAAATGTTTATGGTAACCGACAAGCTTGATACTCTAAACCCATTCACATTCCTTCATAGACCCTGAGTAAATTCTATCTGCTTACATTCGCGGTGGTCGTTTTCCGTTTGGCTACTAAATAATTTGTAAGTAGTCACATAGGCACTATGAAAGATACTTTTGTGTTAGTGCAGTGAATGTAGTGTATTGTATCTGGTTTCAATCAATTTTAGCGTCTTCGATACCTGATCACACCGGAAGATCGACCAACATACAGTGACCAAAAGATGTTGGCAGTTGAAACAAAGGAGTCCGGACAGGATAACCCAACTCATCCGACAGACGATGATGTTATCGAGCAAAAGGAGCCAGTGGTATACACGCAAAAAACATCATAAAGTTCAACATTCCACAATAATATGTCGTGCAATATTCGTCACGCATTTGTCAGTTAATGCATGATTATGAGTGACGTGCTTCCTTCCTATGTCAAAATGATATCACAAGGCCTTTGTGTTCTTCCCCAAGTTTTTCCCAGTGTTTCATTTGTTGCATTTGTTGTTGGGAATGGGGCACTTTCAGTATTTCATGTACCCTATTCATCGCGTAATATAAACATTATTGAATTCATGTTTGGTAAATGTATGCTGTCCCCGCTAGGAGACACCTCTATGAACAAACAGCTTCTTCTGTCATATTACATTCATTCATTTACACAAGAATAAATGGGCTGAATAGCGAGAGCGATGGAATATTCTTTCGATAGAAAAACGTAACGGAACATTTGAGTGGTGCCTGCAGAAATGAATTGCTTAAACATATATAACAAAATAGTCCGAATAAGAGCAACCATGAATACACAGGCATAGTTACACAATTATCACTAAGTTTACGTGTTGTGCAATAGTTTACATCTTGTTTTACTCTCTCAATCACACATCAAGTATTGAGCGTTTCCGTTAAACTTCGCTGTCTAATCCTTCTTTTCTTCTCCCTCTACCCTATTGTTTCCACTTCCAAACAGAAAGTTATCTATAATTGGTTGCTTCTGTCTGTCTATTTAACTATCTATTCATCTATCTACCTGAAGCTGATTCTTCATTTTCGATCACACTAAATCCACCACTTATCCACTTGTCACAAAGTATGCGGCTCACCACTAGAATGTACATCTCCGTTCTTCTGTTCTATACACACAAGCACAGACACAAACACACGCACAAACATAAACACAGGCGCATATAAATGCATTCTTGTTTGCGCCACATAGGTTTTTCTGTTTGTTCGTTTATCCATCCGTTTCTCATTCGTCCTGTGCTGATTGTCGGCTTGTTCCCCGCCCTTTCCCCACCCCGCCCCGACCCGACCCGACCCGCCCCGCC